GTACAGCTCCTCCAGAATGATCCCATTGAGGAAGGCGGTGGTGATGTCCATCTGCTTCACCCGCCATCCACGGTTTGCTGCCATTGCCAATGACACCCGAAGTGTTGTGCCTTTCCCCACAGGAGCATAGAGCTCGTTGAAGTCCTTTCCCTTTGTCTGCTGAAACCCCTTAGCCACAAGCCTTGACTTGTAGCGGGTCAGCGCCCCATCAGGTCCGTACTTGTGCCTGAAAATCAGCTTGGAAGAAATGGCCTTCTTCCCGGGTGGCAGCTCACACAGCTCCCACGTCTCATTCTCTAGCAGAGAATCATACTCCTCCTTCACACTCTGCTTCCACTTTTCAGCATCGGGCCCGCTCAATGCCTCAGCTAGCGTCTTGGGCTCAGGGACGGCTGCCCAGTAGCAGTGTGCTATCTCATCCTCATCACACTGCTCAGCCACACTCCCAGCCCTTACCACCTTTGGCTTGCCACGGCTTGCATAGGTCAGCCTGTTAGGAGGGCGCACATCCCTCCTAGGACGGTCAGCCGTACGTCCGGCACCTTGTGGAGCACCTTGCTCCTCCTCCTGCTGCTGCTGCTGCTGCTGCTGCTGCTGCTGCTGCTCCACCTCAGGTTCTCCCCCATCATCAGTCACCCCAGAGATCTCCTCCTTGGAGACAGAAACCTCCACCTGCCTCGAAGGCCGCTGCACCTCATCGGCCTCAATGATCAGTGGTGTTGTAGGAAGCTTCTGCTGCTGCTGCTTCCACTCCTTGTAGAACAAGGACTCAAGGAACTTAACATCCCTTGACACAGTCAGTTGCTGGCTCGTCAAGTCCCATATCAACCAGCCCTTGTGGTCCTTGGCAAGCCCCAAGTGCACACCCCATCTCCCAGAAGCTTCCAACTTTCCCCTCTTCTCCTTCGGTACATGAAACACCACCATGCAGCCATAAGTTCTCAGCATGTTGACTGCAGGCGCACTCCCATACCACTTGGTGTAGGGGACCCATTGCTTGTCCCCCACAGTCGCCAGCACCCGGTTCTTCACAACAACGACCTGCCGCAGTGCTGTCACCCAAAACGGATCCGGCAGCCCTGCACGCCCAAGGAGAGTGCGAGCACCTTCCTGCAGGGTCCGGTTGAACCGCTCAGCCACGCCATTCTGCTGAGGGTTGTAAGGCACTGTGAGCTGATGCTGGATCCCCTTCCGCTTCAGCTCCTTCTCAAAATCAGCGCCGATGAACTCTCCTCCGTTGTCAGTGCGGATCACCTTCACCTTGTGTCCGCTTTCCCTTTGTGCTCTCGGCATCCACTCCTTAAGAACAGCCGCTGCCACCTCCCCCTTAGTCTTGAGAGGGTACACCCACACCGCACGCGTGTGGTCGTCCACAATTGTCAAGAAGTAGCGGCTGCCCGAGAGAGAAAGGGCCCTCGTGGGGCCCACCACATCCATGTGCACTAGTGCAAGTGGTGCCTTGGCTGGTCCTGTGCTGCTGCTGAAGGTAAACTTCGTGAATTTGGTCTCAAGGCAGGTAGGGCAGCTCCCAATCTCCTTTGCTCCCCCCTTCACCTCCAGGCCCTTCAAGCACCCATCCTTTACCAACTTCTGCAGCATAGGAATGTTCACATGGCACAGCCTCTCATGCCACGTCTCCCAATCAGCCTCACCACTCCCAGATGAAGCCTTTGCCCATGCAGCTGTCGCATCCACACCAGCAAGCACCTCACCATGTGGCTGCTGTGGCTGCTGCACCTTCTTGACTGCATCCAGGGCCCCAGCAGTTGGTGCAGTCTCCTCTCCTCCCGCAGTTGCTTTAGCCGCTGCCGCTGCCTTTGCCGTTGCTGGTGGTTTCCCCTTCCAAGGGATGATGGGCAGCTGCCACAGGTCCTTGATGCAGCTGCTCTTCTCCTCCAAGTTCCACAGCAGCAACTTCCCAAGCTTTGCACGGCAGCTGGTTGGGCCGAAGGTAACTTCAGCCTTGCTCTTCTGCAGCCGGCGCACAGAAAGAAGGTTAGCGGACAAACCTTCAACCAACAGCACATTCCCAAGCCCCACAAGCTCTCCATTGGCTCCCATCACCTTAGCATTCCCAACACCAATCACAGGGAGCAAAGCACCTGAAGCGGCAGCCACGAAATTGATCTTCCCAGGAGGTTTTACCTCATCAAGCAAATCTGCCCGTGGGGTCATATGACTCGTGCAACCTGAATCGATCACCCAGTGAGTGAGGGGGTGCATCACAACCTTCCCAACTGAACCCATATCACCCCCACTCCCTTGCACATCCTCAACCATGAGGAACATCCCAGGGTCGGCTTTACCTTGTGCACCATCACCTTTTGCACCTGATCCTTGCACAGCGCCACCGCGTGCACGTTCACCACTTGGCGGCTTCATGCCTGGAGGGGCCCATCCCTCAGGCCGGCTGAAACACTTGAACCACGGGTGTCCAGCCTTCTTGCAGTACCAGCACGCACCCTCCATTCGGGTGCTCCCCCTGCCACCAGAGCTCCCATGCCCCTCATTGTAGTCACCTCGGCCTCTCCCTCTGCCAAAGCCTCTCCCACGGCCTCGGCCTCTCCCTCCCCCTCTTCCTCTGCTGCCTCCTGCAGCTCCATACCCCTCAGCAGTTTTGTTGGCAGCACCACCTCCCGTGTGGCGCCTGCGGAAGTCCTCTTGCAGAATCTGCTGCCGTAGCCACTCAGGCGTCCATTTGTCCTGCTGAACGTTGAGGGTGGGGATGAGGTTGTCCCACGAGTTGTCGAGCACCGAGATGATCTTGGTGCACTGTTGCATCTGCGACACTTCGCTGCCCGCCGCTGCCATCCTCGCATAGGTGTCCTTGATCTTGTCAAGGACCGGTTTCACATCATCTCCCGGTTTCATGGAGAGGGCAGCCAACTCCTTCTCCAACACAATCACCATCGGCAGCGTGTTGGGCTGAATCACGTCGCGTAGCAGCTTCCATGCCTTCGGTCCGGAATCATCCAACTCCACCAAATCCTTGATGTGCTGGAACATGTCGTTGTTGACCGATTGGAGGATGAGGTCGTACAGCACCGCGCTCTTCTCAATCCACCGATCGCGGGCATCTCCTTCCCCCGGCATCTTCTCCTCTCCCATTGCAATTTTCAGTAGCTTGTAGCGCTTGAAGGCGCTCCGCATCCGCCCGCTCCATTCCTCATAGTTGGAGCCATCCAAAGCTTCGATCTTGGATGGTGGCGGTTCACTCCTCTTCTCAGCTGCATCTCCACTCCCTTGATTCATCTCCTCTGCTCCCAATCAGAGGTTTCAGCTCCCCCTTTTGCTGGTCACAATGTAGATCCACACAATCTTCACAAGTGTCGGCGCCAACGAAATTTCGGCAGAGTTTCCCCTTAGCGGAAGTCACATCCAACCTCCAGAATACCACTTAGGCACGCCCACAGGCCATGGTGAGTCTAGGAGGGTCTTCACACTTCAGTAGACTCTCCACAAAGTCCTTAATCAGCTCTGATACCACTTGTTAGAGACTAAGGACGTATGAAGATTAGGAGCCAAAATATCTCAACATCGTTGGGCCTAGTTTCTGAACAGAAAAGTCGAGTTCACAAGAAACGCCGTCGACGGAAATTTCACGGTTAAAACTTCACCAAACTCAGATATGTTGTAGCTCTACTCTGTGGCTACAATTCCCAAGTTGAATCGTACGGAAAGGTGAAGTGTGTCTTGAGTTATCGATTTCAGCGCACTAGGGGGTATGCTGCCATAGAATCTTAACTCAATCACAAAGTTCACACGTTCACACAAGAGAATTGGAGTAGCACTAAACCAGGTGGAAGGGATTAGGAGGACGAGAGGGAAGGTCCCAAGAGAGTCCCCAACCAAGGAAACCCCATGGCATACAATTCCCTTCCCCATAGGCAACCCAACTTTGACCTTTGTCACTATCCCAACCTCCACAATCCACCTCAACCCAACTTGGCCACACTTGCCAACCTGGTTTGGTTTCTCCCAACCATTTGGCAGCAACTACAGTAGAAAAGACGAATTTCCCAACCCCCAAAAGTCTGTACCCCATATTGAGTCAACCCCACAACTTCCCATAATCACCACAACCAAATATCAAAAGCATACGAACTCCAACGTTCGTAACTTTCTTGTTCGTGCTCCAATTGAAGCGATACTTGGTTCCTCGGAAAGCTCTTGAGCAGAGGAGTCACTTCAGATATCTGCTCAAGCCAAATAACATTCACACACACACTCAGAAAAACCAAACCGCACAAAACACAAATTCTTGTGCACACTCACAACACGCATGCAACGCACGAACATATGATGGGAGGCAGACAGACGTGAATGCGAATGGTAGCATCACTCAACACTATTCACCCTCACACCAAGGTACCGTTGTGAGGCACGCAATGGAGGTTCTCATTGTTGGTGGGTTGGGATGGAATCGCTGAGACTGAAAACTGAGGATCGAGATTAGGGTGCAAAGTGAGAGGCGATTGAGCGCCTGGGTTAGGGAGCAAAAAACGGTTGAACATGCGAAGCATTGAAAGGTTTTCCCAGTTACGTATGATGCCCTTCCACGACGGATCTCCACCGAAAAACTTAACCCAAAGCCCCCCCACCCCACCCCACCCCGTCTCATCGCACCCCGCCCCACCTCTCCTCATCAGCCGGACGTGGTGGTCAACTGTGCAGCCATGTCCGTGCCAAGGCAGTGCGAGAGCGACCCTGCCCTGGCCATAGATCCCCTCTGCTTCTCCGCTTCTCCTTCCCTCCCCATGCTACCCTTTCCTCCCCATCTCTCTCCATCAGCCTAACGTGGTGGTAAATTGTGCAGCTGTGTCCGTGCCAAGGCAGCGCGAGAGCGACCACTCCCTTCGACAATTCCCGTATGCGTCTCCTTTTTGCCATCCCTCTCCATGCTACCTGTTTATCTTGCCCCACTCCATCAGCCCAACGTGGTGGTCAACTGTGCAGCCATGTCCGTGCCAAGGCAGTGCGAGGGCAACCCTGCCCTGGCCATGCACATCAACGTACCTTCCGCGCTCATTGCTGCTCTCTCTGATGCTGCCGGGAGGCCAGCAGCAGGCAGCACTGCAACGGGGGATGGGAATGAGACTGATGGTGGGAATGGCGATGGGAGTGGGAGTAAGGAGGGAGAGGAGGGATTGGAGAGGGATAGGGAGCAGCAGCGCCTGCCGCTGCTGCTTCACCTCTCCACGGACCAAGGTGAAGCGTGCGTCATGGGAGTGGGATGGAACGGGACGGGATTTTGGATTTATTTCTTTCACATTTGCAGCCTTTACAATCCACTCCCCTTAACAATTCACTTTAGACCAACCCATTTGATTCGCAGCTTTCGTACCCAGCCAGCTCATTCGCAGCGTCACAATCTAACTTCAAATAGTGCTTTGTTTTCCTCACCCCCCCCCCCCCCCCCTCCCCCCCCCTTTTCCACCTCCTCCTCTCACGTCTGCCTCGCTGCGTCCCCCCCTCCTTTCCCCTCTTCAGTCTACGAGGGTACCACGACGTTTTACAAGGAGGATGATCCGTGTTGTGAATGCGTACGGGAGGAGCAAGGTGGCAGGGGAGCAGGCTGTGCGCGGGCATTGGCCACGCCATTCCCCTCCCCCTCCCCCTCTCTTCCTCCTCTTCCCCCAGTCCACAAAGTTGCCTCTACATGGCATCTCCCCAGGAGAAAAGAGAAAGAAAAAAGAGAACACCTTTTCTTTCTTCCCCCCTCCTCTTCCTCTCTGTCTCCCCCTCTTCCCCCCCCCAAGTCTACGAGGGCACCAAGTCGTTTTACAAGGAGGATGATCCGTTGCTGCCAGTGAACACGTACGGGAGGAGCAAGGTGGCAGGGGAGCAGGCCGGGCGCGAGCAGTGGCGGGGCAGCCACGCCATTCTGCGCAGCAGCATTATCGTGGGTCCGCCCCCACCTGTGCCTCTGAAAAAGACCCTGCCGCTGCAGGTGAGAGCCAAGGGGAGTCTTTTTCGAAGTGCCTTAATCATCGTGGGTCCGCCTCCACCCGTGCCTCTGAAAAAAACCCTGCCGCTGCAGGTGAGGCGAGGGGCGAGATGGTATGGAAACTGGGAGGAGAGGGGGAAGGAGCGCGGAGGAGGACAGGACAGGGGGGATGTGGGAGAGGGAATTGTGCTGTATGCTGTGGTGATGGAGGTGACACGAAGTAGAGCGTGCAGCCATGGTTCTGCGCAGCTGCTTTACTTGAATCATGCTATGATGTGTGCTTGCTGCTAGTTCATGTTTTGCAATGTCATATTTTGCACTTGATTTGTTCCTCTTCCCGCCCCTCCCCTCCTCCCCACTTTCCGTTCCACTGTCTCTGTCATCCCTTTCCCGGTTCATCCCTACCCACCTTCGTCCCTCCCCCCTCCACCGCACTCTCCTTGCTCCCCTCACCCACCATGGATAGATTCAACATCGCACTCCCCCCCAACATCAGGCCACCGGACAACACTTCTCAGTCAGTCCAAACGACTCCCTGACTCCCTTACCCTCTTCCTCTTCGTCTCCGTTCTCCGTTTCTTCTTCCTCTCCCTTCCCCTCTCCCCTCTCCCCCCTCCCTTCCCGCCCCCTCCACCAGTGGATGGATGGAGCACTGCACTCTGCGTTGGCATCTGCCAACCAGAGTCCTTTTTTTACGATGAGTACCGCTGCCCCGTCTACGTGCACGACTACCCCCGCAATGTCCGAGTACTCATGCATCGACACGCCCAAGGTGCGTGCCTTGCTGATTCCGAGTGGAGATTAGGGGACTCTTCCTATTAATGAGGCGCCTCAAAATTGGTCTCATGTCTCGCGGTTTTGAGGCGCCTCAAAAGTCGTCTCATGTCTCGCGGTTTTGAGGCGCCTCAAAATCCGGAGTTCACTGGACTCCTCCGATCATATGCCACGAACCGGCCTGCATCCCAAAATGCTCATACAATTCTTGTGCTGGGCTGGGCCGTCTCCTCTCTTCTCGTCCATGAGGGCAGAACAAGGACTGTCCATGCCCCCTGACGTAGAAACCCGGGACGGGGGACACTGAGAGGCAGTGGGGACACTGACACACTGTCTCTCTCCAATGCCCATTTGCAGCAATGGCCGTTGCATCAATGGTCATTGCCCACCCCGTCCGTCCAACCCCCTGCCCTCCTTGCTTTCCCACACAACCCACCCCATCAGGCGAGCGCATGGCCCTAACGCTGAACATGGGAGGGCAAGACCGTTTGTCATGACTTCTGAGGCGCCCCGGAACTGTTAACCCGTCTGACCCCTCTTTCCCCTCCCTGCTCTCCCACTCAACCCATCGGCGAGCGCTTGGCCCTGACGTTGAACGCAAGGGGGGCAGATCGCCTGTCCAGAGCAGACATGGCAGCCGTGGTGGCTCGGGTCAGGGGGTACCTCCTCCCTGCCTCCACCCCCACTGCTTCTGCTGTTGATGATGGTGCTGATGGTGCTGATGCTGATGATTCTTCTTCTGCTTCTGCTACTGGTACTGTTGGTTCTGCTGGTGCTGCTGGTACGGCAGCCAGTGGCAGTGGTGGTGGTGGTGCTAGGATGTGTGTGAGCAGGGAAAGCGATCTCATCGCCAGAGCACCTGTGGTCTCCGTGGTACGCCCTCCTTCTCCGCTGTCTCGGCTGCTCCCCCTGATACCTCTGCTGCTGCCGCTAGTGAACCTGCCGAACCTGCCAAACCTGCCGAACCTGCCAAACCTACCGAACATAATGCCTCTGTCGCACTCACTAGTTTTTAACTTCAATTCTCCATCCCTCCATTTTCCTTCCCATTCCCTCATCCCTCCAATCTTTCCTTCCCCCCAGCCCCTTCTCCTATATCTTCCTCCATCCTCCCCCAATTTTGTTGGTGGCAGAGAGGGGTGACCGAGTCGGTGGTGCCAGTGGTGGGAGAGTACCTGACACGAGCATGACGCAGCGAACTAACCAAACGCGGACACCTGTCTCTACGCAGCCACCTGACCTGACGCAGCCACCTGTGCAGACGCAGTGTTCAGGGTGTACATACTGGCCCCAGGCTGCCGAGTGAATGTAGCAAGGTGACGTCCAGTCCGGGAGCACTTACAGATCGCCACACGCTGCCCTCTAGAGATAACGGTATCAACCTAAACATCCTGAAGGACTGCGTTGCTCACCAAGATCGTCGAGAACGAGTGGAGGTGGAGGCCTGAAAGAGAGCCGGAGGGGACTGCCGGACACTGGAGGACAGTGGAGGCTCGCGCTACGACTGGGCCCCCAGTGGGGTCAGCCAGTGAGACTGGGATAGGTGTTGCGAGCGGTGTGACTATGGTGCAATCATGAAAGAAGCAATGTGACGCGCCTAAGTCAAGTGTGAAAATGTGCAAGGCCACAGCTGAGGCAGGACCAGTGGCGGTAGACGCACTAGCACCAAGAGCTGCAGCAGACTCACTAGCACCTAGAGCAGCAGCCTCTACACAACCAGGGGTGCCTTGCTCGAAAACATAGTCGTGAAGCCGCTGCGGGAAGAAGGTCTTTTGCTGACGTTGTTGCCGCCGCTGTCTGGTACCCATAAAACCATAACCTCCACCACCTCCACGGCCGTGCTGAACTACCCACTCATGGATCTGCTGTGGCGAGAGAGTGTCCATGTGCGCGGGCTGCTGCTGCTGTCCAGCACCTCCAGCACGATAACCTCCACCACCAGAACAGCCTTGCTGAATAACCCACTCGCGAAGCTGCTGTGGTGATAGAGTGTCCTAGTGAGGCAGTGGCTGCTGTTGTCCACCCCTAGGCGCTGCTACGACCGTGATAGTGGCTACGACAGGCAGTGGCGGTCAGTAGCAGCGGTGCAAGGGCGGTAGTGGCGACTGCTGTAGCTGCAGCTGTAGCAGTAGCGGTGGTTGCTGTGGCTGTAACAGAAGGAGCGACCGTTGGAGTGGTTGTGGAGGCCAGTAGGGTGCGTGGGCAGCAGGGCACGGGCGAGCGCAGTATCAGCAGCAGTGGCAGCAGTAGCAGCAGTCGTGCCAGCAGCTGCAACAAGGGCGGCTCGCCAGGGCAGCAGTAGCGCAGGCGGTAGCAGTAGCTCAGCAACAGCAGCACAGGTGGCAGCAGCAGCCTAGCAGTAGCAGCACCAGCAGGGCGACTCGGTGGGGCTGGGCAATGCTGCAGGGCAGCGCGGCTCGGCAGGGCTGGGCGGCGCGGGGGCCTAAGGGCAGGGTGGCGCGCGGGCCTAAGGGCAAGGCAGCGCAGTGCGTGGGCTGCAGGGCAGGGCGGCGCGCGGGCCTAAGTGCAGGGCAGCGCGGCTCGCGGGCTGAACGGCAGGGCAGCGTGGCTCTAAGGGGCACGGTGGCGCGCGGGCCTAAGGGCAGGGCAGCGCAACGCGCGGGCTGCAGGGCAGGGCAGCGCGGCTCAGGCTACAGCAATAGCTGAGCAGTAGCAGCAGCGCAGCCGGCAGCAGCAGCGCAGCCGGCAGCAGCAGCTTAGCAGCAGCAGCAGCAGCAACACAAGTGGCAGCAGCAGTGCAGCCGGCAGCAATAGCTCAGGCGGCAGCAGCAGCACAGGTGGCAACAGCAACGCAGGCGGTAGCAGCAGCTCAGTCAGCAGCAATGCGTTTGGCAGCAGTTGCGCAGCAGCAGCAACGCTGGTTGGTAGGGGCTCGGTAGGGCACAGCGCAGCAGCGTGTGCGGCAGCAGTAGCTCAGGCGCAGCAGCATTAGCAGCGTAGCTCGAGCGACGCAGCAGCTCAGGTGCAGTAGCAGCTCAGGCGCAGTAGCAGCTCAGGCGCAGTAGCAGCTCAGGCGCAGCAGTAGTAGCACGGTTGGCAGCAGCTGCGTAGCAGCAGCGGCGTACACAGTAGCAGCAGCTCAGGTGCAGCAGCGCGCGAGCAGTTCGGGGGCAGGGCGAGCAGCACGCGTGCAGCAAATGCAGCGCGCGAGCAGCAGGGGCAGCGCGCGAGCACCGGCTGCAGCGTGCAGGCAGGGCAGCGCGCGGGCTGCAGGGCAGGGCGTCGCGCGGGCTCGGCAGCGGGGCACGCGCGCTGGGCAGCGGGGCGCCCGGGCTGGGCAGTGGGGCGCGCGTGGGTAGGCACAAGAAATCGATGCGCCTAGGGCGCGTTTTGGGCAGGACGCGCCTGGGGGCGCGATTCGTGCATAAAATTGAAGACTTAACGGTGGGCCCTTTAAAAAAACTGGTCCTAAGGACCTAATGGCTCTTAATACCATGTTGAACTAATAGGCAAGGAATGAGTCGACTAGGTCAAAGGGTGGGGTACAAGAGAGTGTCGAGGGAATTGATGTACCCCCTAACATGCAAATCAATATAGGCTAGATGACTAAAGTGAATATAACGTTGACATGTGCATGGGCAGGGTGGGGCACAAGCAGCACGGTAGCTAGCGTCGAGCGAGTGCAGGTGGGTGACAAAGTCAGCGGTACATGCAAACACTCATAGGTCGGGAAAAAACAAATGGAATGAAGAAGTGACTAAGAGAGGCGGAGGGAGTGGAGTAACGGGTCTTAATCGTATTTAGACAATTCTTGGTAGACCGAACCTGGCTGAACTGGGCCTCCTGAGTCTTGGGGAGAAGGCTGCTGGAGCAATACGAGCCACAGCGTCATGAGACTGCCGTACCGACAGATGTGTACGTGCATGAGCAAAGTGCACCCGATCTGCATCAGTAGGATTAATAGGAAGGTCCGCAGGGCACGCAGGTGAAGGCAGGTCATCAGAGGCGTGCGCCCAGAACGTTTCACCATCCCGGCGCTGACTCTGGAGGTTCAACTCGGCGCGAAGAAGCCAAGTAGGAATTTCTAGCTACCCTCGGCATCAAAACAGAGGACTCGAGAGGACGCCATGGCGAACGCTCTACTGGACTAGGAGCGAAAGGCTAGGAAAAATCGTAGGTAGAAGAAAATGAAGGGTGGACGTCGCCAAATTGGCTTGTCTAGGAACGGCCGAGCGAAAAGCAAACAAAGCCAGAGCGGAGACTAGCCGAGGCGAACAACGAAACGAGGCCAGAGGACTAGTCTAGAAACAAGCGAAGCTAGTAACGAACGAAGTCAGAATGACTAGTCCAAGAACATCAATCACAATGAAGGGGTGAAACCTAAGCCTCGCCAAGAGACTCAAATGTGGCGGTGACCGCCTATGGAAGTTGGTGTGGGATGGTCAGCAGGCTTGGTTGGGATGGCGGAAGCCGTTGGCGCTGCGTGTGCAGCAGGCAGAGGTGCGTGCGACCGCTGCCTCATGTACCCGATGATCTGTACACGACCTGACCTCGCGTACCCGCTCAGCATCCTCACGCGCTTCGTTGCGCCTGGGAAGCACCGCCTTGAGCACTGGCGGGCTGCGCAAAAGGTACTGCGTTACTTGTGCAACGGTGGGAGCTAGACTATAGGGTAGGCACTGGTTGTAAGAGTGATCATAACTCTGTCTGTGTTCTCTAGGACTTGTACGCTCAGAGGGCAAAAAACAAAGGTTTCCCTAGGAAAGTTGAGAATACAGAATTCAAAAGCAACCCTGCTGCATGGTTTGTTAGTGCACAGGCAGGTCGACCGCCAGCATGATAAAATTGTCGACCTGCCAACATAGCAAATCTGCGGCCCGCCAACCCAGCTTGAGCACAGCTTGCCAACGCTGGAGGATTGTGGCCTGCCAACGATGCACCCATGCGGCTTGCCAATACAGCACCCGCGCAGCTTGCCAACGTTGTATCCGCAGATGATTGTAAGCGCATATGCAAGCACCTACTTCGGAGGTGCTTGTTGTGAGAGAACGAGGAATGAATGAACTAGGA